TGGCGACGTTGATGAGTCTGAACCTGAGTTGAATCTGTATTCCGTCTACACGTTAATAAATAACAAGAGGCACTCAGAGGATATCCAGTAAAATTATGGAAAAGCGATATTAAAAAGACCTCCCCTGAACCCCAAAAAACCAACATTGTATTTATTAGTTGAAATTTGGGTTTTATGATGTATAGTGTATAACTTTTTTTACAGACATCCGATTTTGAAGTGGTATACCTTTAAAAGCTTGTGGTTATTCCCTAAAAATCTGTGTTCAAAACATAGTTGTTTATTTATGGTCGATTTTTTTTTAATTTTTATGAAGTAAACCCCTTTTGAAATTTGAGAAAAATGGGTCTGGTGAAAAGTGACCTAAAACCATTATTTTTAAGACCATAACTTTTCTCCAATTTTGAAGTGGCATACTCTAAAAATCTGCGCTTAATTTTTGGTTTGTATTTTTGGGTGTTCCGTTTTCCAAATTTTCAAAAATTAGTTTCGAAGTTCATTTGCAGATGCACCTAGAAAATCATTATATGTATAGGAATCCCTTGTATTTAACAACCAGATTTACCAATTTCTTTCAGTGCTTCAGTGCCAGCTGGATGACTGACTGTTTCCTGCTGCATTTCCTTTCCGACTCTTCCGGCCTTTGGCTTTCGGATTGGGGCGTGAAATGTAATCACAAGGTGGACAAAGCCCAATCACTAGACACCCTTTTACCTGGGAGGCACCTGAACATTGCGAGGACACACGAAAGGTGTCCGATTCACTCGACACAACTGGTAAACAACCCAATCCCAAAATCCCAATCAAAGTGGCACCCCTTTTCCCATTCGCAAACGCAATCGTATTCCCTTTCCGATTTTCATTTCCATTTCCATACACATTCGAATTCTCGTTTCCCCCTGCAATTTGCTTGCTCAATTCATTTTTCAAGTGCCGTCCGTCTGTTTTTGCAATTGGCTTTTGTTTGCTTTCGGCCAGGCGGCAATGATAAGGCAAGACAATTGCGCCAACGACGACGATTTCAATTTGTTTGCACTTCCCATTTGTCGGTCAATATTAATATTAAGCGATTCCGAGGGGCGACAAATAGCAGATCAATGCAATGCTCCAATTGGGTTTTGTTAAGTCACGATTTCAGAATTAGAATTCACAAAGCCCTCAGAGGGTTATAGTTCTAGAGATTAGAGGACAAACTCAGGGGCATTCCGATTTGTTGGTCAATGTTTCAATTTGCGCATACATTCCAGCTATATATTTTCAAAGAATTTTATAAAGCCCCAGAGGATCGTATTCCTGAGGGTTTGAAACCGAAAACAGATTTTTTCAGTATAAAGTCTCAGAAATAAATATTACATCATAAAAAGATTTTTTTTATCAATTAAAGGCAATTCTATTTTAATAATAATAGAATTGTCTATCACCTTAGAGGGTCTTACATATACCTGAAGATTTTAAACAAAGGTTTTAGTTTTTTTCAGTTGTAAATTATTTATATCTTTAGCACAGCTGTAGCTTTGCCCACCCATAAATATCAATAGTTATAGAATGCAATGTGGCTTGGCAACCGATAAAAAGCTGTCAGATACAGTGCAAAAATCAACATGAGCGAAATATGTTAAATATTTTTGTGTAAAGCTTTGCAAGTTGTTCTTGATGGCCTCATTTCCGGTTCTTGAGGAAAAGAGGGTGGTAACGGGGCGGTAACTTGTTTTACTCAACCAAATTCGATTGCTTTACGTCGCACTTGTTATTTTTCTTGTGTATCTTTTTTCCGCCGCATTTCAACGTTCTAAAGTTTTTGTCATTTCATTAGAAACTTCCTTATTCTGCTGTTATCGCGAAACGAGAAGAACAAGAAGGCCGAAGAACGAAGAACGAAGACAGTGAATAAAAATAAGCAACGACCTTGGCATTCTTTTTTCCAGTAAAAACAAATCTGGAGTAGGGCAATAAAACAAAAAAAAATATATGCAACGATAGCGTTGTATTTACTTAATCGGTAATGCAAATAAAAACATTGATTTTGAACATTGGATGTGACTTTTTACTGATATAGACGTGCCCTAAATAAATATATCTCAAAGTAATCATAATATAAAAATGTAAACTTCAAATATTTAAACCTTTCTATTTTAGGTATCTTCACCTCAAAATGGTTTCAATTGGTATATTTAATTATAGAACTTGTTATTCGCGAAACGTTTCTATTATTCTGATCGCAACTGTCTGATATTAGTATTATGCTTGGGGTTATGTCATCTACACTTTTTCCCCGGCGCTTTCTCGTCATGCAACAACAAGCACGGCAACAATAACAAGTGGTTAATTCTAGTATTTAAATTGTATAACGTTGTAATTTTCACGCGACTTGCAACAAAGCCAAACAAAGCAACAAAAAGAACAACGACAAGCTGTTGACAAATGTTTGAGCTTAATTAACCGACGAACCAACAACACATGAGTAATAGATTGCAAAAAAAAAGGAGAAATAATAAGTAAATAAATAAAAACACAGTATATGGGGCTCATAGGGTGTTGCAAAATAGAGAATTGCATTGAAAATACGTTGAATAACATTTGAATAAAAATGCATAGCACGGCAGAAAATTAATGATTTGTTTATATGCACCCTCAAAGTGAAAAACTTGATTTTCTACGTAACAAAATGATATTTACTTTAATATAAGATGATTAAGAAGCACTTTTAAAAAAATGAAATTATATTAAATCAGTGAAGAATTTGTATTAATTATTCATCACTTTTAGTGTATTAAATAAAAAGTTATGTATTATTATTTAAGTAATTTACAATCGATTTAATGGCTTTATTTTAATAAAAAGGATCATTGTTCTTGGTTTCGTTCTTTTTAATTATTAAATAAAAGAATTATAGGCATAAACTAAATCTGATCGATAAATTAAAACTGGTTCTGCCCGAATATGCCGCAATTAATACCCAATTTTTTTGATACCCACTGTACTGGTAAAGTGAAGCCCATGCCCATTCAGCTGTAACCACATCTCGACTCTCTTCCCTTGAACTCTGTTCTCTTCGCTTTGGCCCCCGAGATCGAGATCCTATCTAGCCCCCGACATCCATTCTCTTTATTTTATTATTTTACTTTTTTGGGTGCAGTAATTTTAGTGCATTTAATTTCCCATCCCGAACGTGGCCGCCTTGAAACCACGACCAAAACAAAAGCAATAAGCACACGAAAAAGAGTCAACGAAAATATTGTAATAAAAAAGAAGGTTAATCAAGCGGCTTGGTTCGGACTTTTGAGTTGGAGTTCGTTTGCCCCACGTTGGGTTAAGGCGGCTCGTGCTCGGACCGCTTCCATCAGGCTTAAAGCAGAAGGTGAAGACAGCGGTTCCCAGGCCCCCAACCCCATCCGCACACTGCGAGGAATTTCAGTAGTGAATTGTGAAGGATATTGATATCAAAAAAAGATAGACTATTGTACAAAAAAAAAGATTCAGGGCTTGAATCCTTCTCATTGGTATTTATAGAGGAATTTGTTAAAAAAAACAAAAAGGATTGAACTCTCGAACCTAGGTTTTTCCTATTCATATTTATTCTTTTTATCGTATTTGACAAGACTTACATTAAGAGAACTTGGATAATTCGAGAGAAGTTTTCTTTAATTTGAAGCTAATGTAATTCAAATAATAGAAATAAATCAAATTATTATGAATGATTTTAAAGTTTGATAAATATTTTGAAAACATTTTTCAAACTTGTTTCCTTTTAAGCCACAGGTTATATGTTTTACATGTCTATATTCTCTTAGTGTAATTTCAAGGTTTTATGTAATTTCTGTTTGTTGCTGTTTTTATTTCTTTGCCCCTCTGGTTTTCTTGTGTTACTTTTGCTTCTTGCGTGTTGACCAAGACAAAAAAAATACAAAAAAACATTAACCCATGGAGTGGTAATAACAGTAACAGTAACCGAAGTCCGGCGAATAAAGTTGAATTTTCTTACAATTCGTGATTCGGACCGAGTTCGAAATGCCCGTTATTATTAGCCAGTATAAGAGAGGAAAAAAACACGTAATGGATTTAACTATTGTTGCAATAATTGCCAATCGAGCAACGTAATTCTTTGCTCATTATACGTAATTATCTATTGACTTTTACCATTTGCAGCAGTTGTGCGTGTGTTTCGTTTGTTTATCTGTTTAATTTGCCTATTGTCCTCAAGTTCAGGGCAATGTCAACGAAATTAAAAAGGAAAAAAGGTAAGGGTAAAGGTAAAAGTAGCGCGAAAGTGTCGGAAATTGCACTGCGAAAATTGGAAAATTGCTGTTTGTTTTATGCGAAAATGCAACAAATCAAGTAATGGCTATTGAATATCGAATTCAAATTACAGGCTGGCTTTCCACAAAAATTATACTGTAATTTTCTATATTTGTGGTAATTGCTCAATATGTAGGCAATTATAGAATTACTAATAATGGTAATTTCTTTCTTTCATTTCAACATTGCTTTTTTTTTATTATAATTCTGTTTCAATTAATGAGTTATTAAGAATTGATCTAACAGTTGATGAAAATTTAAAAACTAATTTTAAATTATATATTTTTATTTAGCAATCGAACATTTAACCGAAATATTTAAAAAACACTTCAAATAGTTTTTATTTTCAAGAAATTCAAATTATTTCCAAAACTTTACGGATTAAAAACTTGTTTTTCTAAACATGATCACTTATCAGTTCTTTAGTTAATCCTGCTTTACTTTCTCTGCGAATTCTTGCAGAATCCGAGGAATTCTCCGTACAGAGGAGAAAAGAGATCTAATAAAAGAGAAAAGGGCGCAAGGAAAAAAATAAATTGAATGCAGGAAGACAACTTTCGCTGCTAGCGTACAACGGGAAATGGAAGAAATCGAAGTAAGGGAAAAAGGAAGAGAGTGATAAAGAGAGTCCACAAAGAGGAGGTATAAGTACTGATTCTCAATTGTTTTATTGAAAAATAAACAAAAATGTGTGTGAAACTTACCGAAAATTCAGAATGATTCCAGCTATTTTTTTTATAAATTCTTATTTCTTTTTGATTTCCTCTTGGTTTCCTTTATATATTTATGATATCGTTTAATTTTTGCAAACTAGAGAAAAACACAAATAAAAATGAAGAGAGCTGATAGGGCGATTTATTGTTTGTTTATTTTAGGACATTCCGCAATCCTTTTCTATTTTTTTTCTAGTTTTGTACCCCTCTTTCATGGTATTTCTTCTTCTTATCAATGAAACGTGAGTCAGTGGCAGCCAAAAAAAAATATTACAGCTCCGGTCAGAATAATAGCACAATTTTTTAAATGTAATATTCACTGAAGAACACTGACAAAACAAATATGTAAATATCCACACAAAAAAAATAAACAACAAATTTCAGAGTTTAAACAATTAAGTGTGTTTTTATCAATTTATGTATTTTCATTATATGACCGAATGTAAATAAATAAAACATAGTTTATAAAAATAACAACATTCATATGATTGTAGTTTATTAAAAATAAACATAGTGTTATTATGGTGACCTCCGCTGTGTTTTAATGTTTTCCTTGTGGATTATTTTTTTGGGTTCATTTTTTGTTTTGCTTTATTTTTTTTGGTATTTTCTCATGTGGCGCGCTCACACACACATCAAACACACACATTCACAAACACCTACACACGCACACAGCTTCTTTTCTTTTCTTTTCTTTCCTTTCGTAATTGCTCTGTTCTTCTTCTTTTTTAAAGGTTGCAGCGTGCAAAAAGAGACAAGAGAAGAAAACAACAACGCGACAATTTTTAAATGCTATCTGTGCAAAAAAAAAAAAACAAAAACTAATACATCAAAAATCTCAATTTCATGCACGTTGCATTTGCATTTCCTTTTGTTGTTGTGGCCGCTTATGCTTCTTCTTCTTCCGACTGTTGCTCTCGTCAACGTTGTTGTTGTTTTTGGCGTCGTCGGCGGCGGCAAAAAATATAAACCATTTTATTGTAACCAGCTAAAAAAACAAAATGTTTGCTGACTTTTATTTCTTTTCTTTGACCTTTCTTCGTTTCTTATTTTTTTTTTGTTTGCCTGTTCCTTTATCTCTTGCTTTTCACTTTTTTTTTATTACACTTTTTGCCTTTTTCCTTTTCACAAGAAAAAAATTCACGCCACACTTGTGTTGTTGTTGTCGCCTCCACTTACGTTGCGTTTATTAATTACAATTCAAAATTAAGTGATCGCGCGCGCACACACTGTTTTGTATTTTCGGGCAAATTATAATTAATTAATTGTGTGTTTTTACTCTCTTTTTTATTGTTTTACTTTGCTCTCCGCTTTTCACTCGATTTTCGTCCGATGTTTTTCGATTGTCGAGTGACCAGCTAGAGGTGGTGAAGTGCCGATGCCAACACAAGTATCATCGATGTTTTTAAAATATCGCTTATATCGATAGTTAGCTGGACACAATCGATGTTCTTCCATCTTAAGCTATTATCGAAAGTATCTCTTCTGTTCTTGCGCACTCTTAACAATTCCACTTCCTTTATAAGTCATTATTTACACTATGCAAAATGCACATTGATCATAGCACTGTGAAAAATGCTTTTTAATCTGCCGATATATATAAAGCACTCATATAGGAAATAAATACATATATATATATATATTTATTACTTAAATCTACAAGCATTACAGAATTACATAAACAACGCTTGTGGTAAATTAATCGATTCAACTCTATTTACGGTTTTGATAACATTTTTTTAAACATCGATATGGCTTCGATATTTTCCGCCAAATACATATGTATTCCCAAAAGTCGAATTTTCTTCACTCGATGTTCGTGCGATGTTTTTCGATTGACGAGTGAACTAGAGGTGGGAAAACGGCATCGGCGACAACGATGTTATCAAGAAATCGCTGATATCGATGTTTACAAAGCAAATATAATGGTGGGTGTACTCGCTAACCGGGGAGTATGTACTCGCTAAGTGCAAATAGGCCCTTACTTTCATCATACCGATCGCTACGTGCATAGCGCTCCTAATTTCCCAACCTGCTGCTTGCGCAAAAAAGAAGAAGTAGAAAAAAAGACGAAACGAAACAAGAAACAAAAAGAAGCAGAAGCAGAGAGGCAGCAACAAGCAGTGAAAACGCACGAAAAATACCTTGATTTTTATTTAGTGTAAATTGTATTATTTTTTTTGTGATTATTTGTGCGTTAATTGCTGGCCAATTCGGTGGATAACGGTTATTGGACAGCTGGCCGCGAGTGTAAACAGAAAGTGCTGCCCTCCTCAACCCCCCCCTCTCGCTTACGCTATCGTACCTTCTCGCTCACGCATCCATTCGTAATCGCAAGAAATTGTTATCAGAATTTCAGACGTATTCCCCAACCTTGGGTTCACATATATATAGATTAACATAACAGCCGTGGGAATCGGTAATCTATATTGCACACCACCGACATGGCAGCGACGCCAGCGCCAGCAGCTACGCCGGCAGCGACGTCGGCAGCGAGTGCAACGAAAAGTCCTGCGAATCCATTATCCTGCGAGGAGGAAACCCTCCTCCGCGGACTCAACAAACTCCGCACCGAGGACAAACTCACGGACGTCACTCTGATCGTCGAGGAGCACCGATTCAAGGTGGGTTTTTATCATCCTACCGAAAAGAGAACCCATAAAATGTGTTCGTCCTTGTGAGCCTTATAATTCTTCATATGTTCTGACAGTTTTGGCTTATCAAAGTAGGTCAGAAGATATAAATTACCCAAACAAAGTTGTATAGTTGTATTTTTAATAGTTAGGAATATATCTTTAACTAAACATAAAATGAATTTATAAATCCATACTTTTGCATTTAATCTTAGTGTTCATACAATAGTCTAAAATTGCATTAAAACTACCTATCCCAAGAGTGATTTAGATAACTTCAAAACACAAATTAGTTTAGTTATTATATTAAATCGTACGATTTCTATTAAACCGGATGGATACGTATGCATCCTAAAACATCTCGTAAGACCACTAGCAGTGATATATTGATTCAACTCCGGAGTTTGGCAAGTTTGTATTAATTATATTTCAAAACAACAAAGCACGAGACATCGACGTAAGGTGACTAGTTATAGGTTTTAGATGGTAAGCAAAATGATAATCGCAGACACCAAAAAAAAAATGCTCATCTTTACTTTCTCTCGCCAAATAATACAAAACGAAAACAAGTCCATGACAAAAATTAATGTGTTTCTGGCGATGACGCATTTTCTTCTGTTGCTATATATAATTAGGGATTCCCGGAATCGGTTTCCTATTGAATAGGTTTCAAAATCAAATTAGACCTGAATAAAATTTTCGAAAACTTGTTTCTATATTACCTAATAGTTTATTTCAACTTTGTGACGTAAGATTTTTAGATTGTAGTTTTATTAGACTTGATTTTATAGGATATCGAATTGTACTTTTGGTGGCAAAAGTATACAATTTTAAAAACTCGTTTGTATCGCCTTTAAAACTTCAATAATAAGCATAGCTAAGGTTCTATCTCCCGTTTAAAAAAACTAAAATTTGATTTTAAATAAGCTTTTAAAAACCATATAATAAATTATCCTTTTGCAGGCTCACCGCGTTGTCCTGGCGGCCAGCAGCGATTACTTCTGCGCCATGTTCGCCGACTGTGCCATGATCGAGTCGCGCAAGGACGAGATTAATCTGTACGGGATCACCGCCCGGGCGATGGGCTCGATCATCGACTATATATACACCTCGCTGTTGGAACTGAACTACGATAACATCGAGGAGATCCTGGCGGCAGCAACACACGTCCAGGTGCGCGAGGTGATCGAGCGGTGCACCCTGTTTCTGGGCACCAAAATCGAGATGGAAAACTGCCTGGCCATCGCGGGAATGGCCGACATCTATGGCATAATGGACTTATCGGAGCGAGCACACCGCTATATATGCGCCCACTTCGAGGAGTTTGCGACTACGTCGGACTTCAAGGAAATGAAGGTGGATCAGCTGCGCTTCATCCTGTCCAGCAACTATCCCATCGATGTGGCCGAACAGGAGCTGGTGCGTCTGGTGTGCAGCTACGGACTGGAGCAGCAGCTGGAGGAGAGCGTCCTGGGGGATCTGCTCAGGCTGATCAACTGGCCGCACATCAGCTACAAGTCCATGGACGAACTGAGGCACCTGAACTGCTCGCTGGACGAGGGAAAGCAACTGCAACTGCCCACCACATACTACAATCGCATCAAACAGGAGTATATGGGGCGCCTGATCAACGGAGTGGTGCCCCTGGAGGACCAATCACTGCCGCAGGGACCCAAGAACATGCGCGGCATGGAGCTCTGCCTGCTGAAGATCGGGGGCTTCGAGTGGAAGGGACTGACCAATGTGATAATGTGCTTCTCGCCAACCAAAATGAATTGGTACGAGTTGACCGCCATACCGCACATCGATCAGTGTAAGTGTATAGGTATCCACAAAGATGTATGTTTAGTATGCTCTAGAACTGATAATAACCATAATTAGTGCTAGCTTAGCACACATATGTAAAAGAAAGTCAGTGGGTTAAAGTATCATTAGCTTTTTGAACTATCATCAGTGTAGTTGTTTAGGAATTCCTTCATCGCTTTCAAAACGATAAGCATTAACATTGGAATTTATAGTTTAATCATCATTAGGATTAGCATCCAACCTTATAATAACACAGTCTACCTGTTATTTTGCACTCCAGACAACTATCAAATAGATTACGATCAGCATGAACACTAGAATTTATTACATTTACAGTGTCAGTGGTTTTTAATATCATCATCATTTGGACTAACATCGAACACTTGCATTGAGAATAATACAGTCTTGCAATTCTATTGCATTCCAGGCAACTTTGGCACTGCCGTTCTCAACAATAAACTCTTCATCGTCGGCGGGGCCTACGATGTCTGTCTGAAGGAGTATATCCATCCATTTGGGTTCTGCTACTGCCCCCTGAGGAATGCCTGGATGACCATTGCTCCCATTCAGTTGGATCGCTGCCGATTCTCGCTAAATGCGGTGGGCAAACAGCATCTGTATGCGGTGGGCGGCATTCTGGACGACGATAACTCCGAGGAGGCGCTGCGCATGATATCCAATGTGGAGCGCTACGACATTGCCCAGAATGTGTGGACCTATATGCCCAGCCTGCAGGAGAATCGCAGTCAGCATGCCGGCGTCGTTGTGGGCGATAAACTGTACATTTCTGGTGGGTCAATCATCATTAGCCTTCAGGTGGTTGTAAACGATGCAGCGGCAATTGAGAAATATGATTTTATGCTTTACTGCCACTGAAACAATTGCTAACAGCTTACTTACAATAACCAAAGCTGGTTGTAAACGATGCAGCGGCAATTAAGAAATATGATTTTATGCTTAAAAAGTACTAATTTTGCAAGAATGCCACTGCAAAGATTACTAACAGCTCAACTTGTATTTAAAGTAAAAAGTAGTTGTTTATACATAAATGTTGTATAGCTGGTTGTAAACGATGTTCTCAGATAAATTTCTTAATACTTTTTGGGATTTTACGCTGCCTCTATATCGTTTACAAGCAGATTAAGAAGGTTTATTAGTTTATCAACCATTTTAATTGAGTGTAATTTACCAACAGGCGGCATCCACTTGGCCAACATCCTGGCGAGCATGTGGGTCTTCGACACGAAGGCGGAACTCTGGCAGGAGCTGGCCCCGATGCCCACGCCCTGCTGCGACCACGTCCTGGTGGCCGTGGACAATCGGATCTACGCCTGCGGCGGATGGCACGAGAGTCTGACGGAGTCGCGAGTGCTGGTGCAGCACATCTATGCGTACGACATCGAGGGCAATGCGTGGAGCGTGGAGACTCAGATACCGGCGCCGAAATTCTACTCCGGCGTGACGGCGATGGGCAGGACCATATTCTTTGTGGGCGGACTGGACTCTACGGAATCGATCGATCGGGCCAGTGCGGAGACAATGGCCTACGACTTGGACAGCAAGGAGTGGTGGCGCGAAAAGGACTCGTGGGACTCACCAAACGATGTGTGGGAATCCACGTGTGCGGCCATTTATGTGCCCATGTGCGATTTCTAATGGATGAATAAACAACTTAGGTCCCTCCAACGTCATCCCTCCTCCCCCATCGAATTTAGCGATTCTCATGATATTTATACATATAAATATATACATAGTATGTGTAGCTAGCGTAGACCTACATGCGAGATTTTGTGATGACTGCACAGTGACAAAAATGTGCCAAGCACGGGCAACGAAAACTGTTTAGACCGTATATGCCTTCATTTCGCTTTTAAATGATATTAATGTAGTGTTAAATTATTTAAATGAATTGTAATTAATATGTATAGACCGCATATGCCTTCATTTCGCTTTTGAATGATAATAAACAAGGCAACATGTACTTAAACTGTATAGACTAAAATAAGAAAGATTGTCCTTAGCCCCAGAGTGTCCTTTTTCGTCGAAACGACCTGTCAATATTTCTCAACATTTAACTTGATTTAATTCATTTTCAAACTAATAAACCATCTTCATTCAGTAAATCATGGTTAGCTTGAATTTCTAAGAATACATACTGCCCTATTTATTATTTTAAAATGACATTCGTTGAAACGAGAAAATAAGGACCTTCTAGGGTAAATAATTGTGTATAAAGAATTTATTCTTCTGTATTTTAGGTCTATGGCAATAAATGAGAAATTTTAAATGATTTTTTTAACATGTTTTTAGGGGTAAATTGAAAATGATTTAAGTGTTCTGGGAATATTTTTATAATTACCTGGATCTTCAAAAATAAATAATAATCAGAACACAAAAAATGAGCCTGAGTTTTGTCGTTGCTTTCGATGGTTTTTATATTTTTTTGGTCTACTCCTTGTCAGCTTCCTCGGACAGATATATATGTTATATGCTAAGTATGTGTGTATATAAGCTTTATAGTACAATTAAAATCTAAATTATGTTCCAAAGAATGCTTATGGGTGAAAATAGGTGTTTGCTCAATTAAAAGAAACACAGACTAAAAACGCTTAGACTTAAATAAAAAAAATAGCTTAAAACGAACAAACGCATCCGAAATAGAAATAAACACAATGCTATGGTTAACGATACAGATACAGATACCGATTACGGATTACAGATTACGGATTACGGATTACAGATTAAAGATTACAGATTACAGCACTAGCCTAAAACATATAGAGAGCCGATCCGGATGGGGAGACTACGCATTGGTATGCGGCTGGATGACCACCCAGCCGTCCGTTTCCACGGAATCGGAGCCTCCGGTCACCGATCCGGGCAGCAGTCCACCGCCCTCCTCCTGCTGGCCGTGCAGATGCGGATGCGCATGGGGATGCGGATGTGGGTGATGATGCGGATGAGGATGTGTGTGCGGATGGGGATGATGGCCGGCTGAAAGTTGGCGCGAAGCAGGGAGCCTCTCATACTGCTGCTGTAGATTGTTGTACAGACTCTGCAGGCCCTCCTAAAAAAAAATACAAAATCAGTTCAAAAATATTCAAGACTCATGTTAAGAATTCTTATCTAAATTTAAAAAATGTTAAAAATCGTTAAATGGAAATTCATTTTTGCCATAAATACCAAAATCATTTAAATGTTTACACAAGTAAAGTCATTTAATTTAAAACATTTTATACAAGTGTGTATACAAATCAATATTCTCAGTTGCTTAACTCTTTAAATATCAATATTTACGTTAATCCAAAAATAAACTTTATACCATTGAATTTATTTTAACAAAAAACACCTGACACTTAAATTTCTTAAGTGTGAGAATATTTTATTGGTTCCCAAAAAAATAATAACCCAAGCCGTATTATCTGTGTTTGTTGAATTTTAAAATTATTTTAAGTAAAGTATTAAAAATGAGATAAAAATTGGCTGTATATTATTTACACCCTATTTTATAACTGATTTTTGTTGGAATTCGAAATTGTGAAAAAGTTAAAAACAGAAAGTCTCTTATTAATTTTAATCAAAGTTCTTGGTAATAATAATATTTGTGGTATATAGGAGCAGCCTTTTCTCACCTTGTCCTTGATCTTGCGCAGCAGTTCCTGTTTCTGTTCGCGCTCGGTGCGATCCATCTGGACGATGAGCTTCTCCTTGAAGTCCTGCGCGTAGTAGAGGTTCGTGTCGACGCTGAGGTACTCCTTGGCCATGTGTCGGTGCTCCCGGTAGATCAGCTGCGACTCGGCATCGTTGGGAATCGGTGGCTCCGGCTGCAGTTCCGGATCGAGGATCTCGGCCAGCGATTGCTCGGTGCCGTCGTTTTCATCCTCGTCGGGATCCACAGCCACGTCTAGTGAGTCGGCGATCTCCCGATCCGGATCATGCAGCTCCTCATCCCCCGATTGCCGCCCATTCGCATGACTCAGCAGCCCGTTCAGGTGGGCGTGGCAGCCGTTGTTGTTGGTCAGATCCGTGGTCATGATCACCGGCTTGGTGTCCGTCACCGTGAGTCGCTCGCGGCCATCGCTTTTAGCTGTAAGTATACATTTCATTTAATTCATCAACAATTAACCAAAAATATGCATTTAAAACGTTTTTATTAACCAGAAAAGGTTTTTTTTTGTAGCAGAAGAAGTGATCATATTTAATGATATTAACTAAATTAACGACCATACTTAATTTATTTATTACTTGATATACAGTAATACAAATATATACCCTTGATCCATTTTTTAAACTTTAAATATGGGTAAAATAAATCAAAAGAGGTAAATGAAGTGATTTCATCAGAAATACTTTTCTACAATTGTATTCAAAAGGAAGGGTCATCTCAAAACAATAAATAATAAATGTGCTTTATAATATTTTAAACGCAAATTAATCAGGACATAGCTTTTAGTGCTCCAAAGTTTTAAAGAAATGTTTTTTTAGGGACCAAAGATTTTTTTAACTCAAAAAACACGCACGAATATACTATATGTTTATTAAGTGGTTTTTAAAATAAATAATCAGGGTTTAAAATTGTAATATATAATTAAATATCAATAAACAACCTGTATATATCTTCTCAAAAATGGAAAGTTATTTAAAGCGGTCTTTACACCACTTTCAAAAAATCCATATAAATTCTAAAAGCGTATTAGAACATTTTAAAATCTAAGCTTCTAATTATATTATGGTAAGTAAGCAACTACAGGTTTTTAAATAACTATTAATCGTTTTTGAATCATCCAACAAAGCGAAAGTGAAAGGAATGTCTTATTATGTTTTGAATTGCAATTAAAAATAATTTCAGAAATGGCTTGGTATTAAAACCACCTACTGTAAATGATCCAACAACTGTGCAGATCGCTGGTCTGTTTGGTGTTGATCAAAGCGCGAGTATCGCACATCTTGAGATTGCAGGATCGAACTATATAGATGCCAGGATTTGGATAAGTCTGTGTTGGGTATCACTCTCTGGCTATATCATTTTCGACTCGGCAAATGCTGTACACTAATTTACGGGTGAAAATCCTTCAAATGGCACTTTTCCCTTCTTTTTCCGCCTCTGTTTTTCTTGCGATGACGTGTTTTCCGCACATACAGTTCACTTCGGCTTGTTGATTTTCCACCGAAACACTTTTGGTTTGTTTTTTGTTTCTTTTTTTCTTTTTTGGGGAAAAACAAACCGCAGCAAACAAATAGTGCAAATAATGTGTGGAAATTTCAATCGAATTTAAGTGAATTCTGTGCTTTCTTAAGGGCTATTATTTCCCAGCGAATGCCGGAGTGAAGTACGGGTACGGGTACGGGTACGGATTCGACAATGTTTCGCGATGCGCAGCAGCAGTAGTCGTCGATCCCGACAATTCCGGAACATCTCGCGTGGCACTCTATTGATCGCACGGCTCTCGGACGCAGACTGAGGCCAAAGCCGAGACGTCCACGTCCACCGTAAAGCAAACAAACGCGCCAATTCTCGCGCCGGGGATTGCCTTCTAAACGCTCCGCAGACGTGGCAAGATCGCTTGGATATATATATTCATATATATATTTGTATATATATATATATGGAGGAGGGGGCTCTACATATATACGGAGGCCCGATGTCGATGACGCGGCCAGAACGAAAATCTGTGGCATCATTGCCACACACTCGTTGGGGTGGAAAACGCCCAAAACATGTGTGTGGGTTAAGCGGTTTCTTTGTCTGGGACACGCATCAAAAACAGAGGTTAAAGGCAATATGGTGAGTCATTCAGTCGGAGTATTAAATAAAACATATTGCCTAAATAGTGTTTCAAAAACAACACTAGACCAGCAAACATTTTCAGTAATTTCTAAATAAAGATTACCATAAAACACAGCAAATTGTCCCCAGTTGATATGCTGAAATATTACAACAAGTCTATTTCCCAAAAATAGCTTGTCATCTTAAGAAGCAATTAATAAGGTTTAAATAAATAATGTTGAAATTGGTTAGAATCCTTGAAAAAATATATGTACACCTCCGGAAATGGAAGAATTTAAAGGAGTATAGCTAATAAAATCAAATGTTTATGAGTGCCATAAAAAAATGGGGAAAAATTACTCTGACTAATCAAAACCTGAAAATATTATTATCGAAAATAACAATATTTTCTATTGTGTAAATTGCTATGATTTATAGAAGACATTTCGTGGAAATAATAATTTGTCAAAGATTTACTCAAAATGATTCCAGGAAAATCTAAAAAAATATATTAAAGAGTTCCCGAAACTCAAATCGTAAATCAGAGAACGCGTCACCCTGTAGCGGGTCATAAAAAATAACCCTTTCGATATCGAGATCCCCGATAAATAGACAACCACCCACTAAATTCCATGACGAACCAAAAGCCCATGAAGATTCATTCAAATTCGATGCGAGGCGATGCGGCGAACATTGATCGAATTCGATGATTAATGCAGTTGGCATCTGCAATTGGGAAATCTCAGGGGGAAAAGGCGTCGAGGGAAAGTGGAATAATTTTCCTACACGGAAAAAAAATAATTGTTTCGTAAAGAAATTACAATTTAATGATATTTTATGATTAAAATAAATGCAGAAAATTTAATAGAAAAATAACTATTTTAAGTGCGCCAGTTTTTAATATTTAATGATTATAATTAATGCTGGTTACTTTATAAATGCAATTGAACATTACTGCAGATTAAAATCAGTTATTTAAAAAAAATTAAAGTTAAAGTTCATATTTTTATTGCCAAAATTTTAATGATTTTATGAGTATTAATACATACTTGCTAAAACAAGTAAAGAAAAAAGGTAGTATTTCTTCGGTTAAAACTAAAATGAAATATAGGACCTAAAATAATTGATAGTGAAATCCTAAGACCATTTCGCTTGCAGTGTATAAGAATCTGACGCAGCCGGTGAACTCCGAGAACTTTGAGAGCCGAAAAGTATCTCGACTTGGCCGCTGATGCATTTACTATTTACACATTGCTGGCGCACTACATGGGATCTATATACTATATACTATACTATATACTATATAATAGATACTATATACTATATATTAGATGGATGTGGCATATGGTCGGGGGAATATGTAAGTCGGAGATCTCATCTCGTCCGTCTGTGTCAACCGAGAGCCAAGTGAGATTTGCCCACTCGATTCGACGGCTCCCACCGATTATACAAATCGGTAACATCGGCGCACATATATCCGCTATATGCGCGATCTATATATAAGTTGTACTGTGTGTGTGTGCGTGTGTGCGCCATATAGACGAAATCGAAATAAAAGTGAGATTATTGCCGGGTGAGTCATGTTTCGCTGGGGCTGATGCTCAAAAGTCCGTGGCGATCGCATCGTCATGTGTGCGTTCCTATATTCCTATATCTATCCCCGATCTCCGATCCCCGATTTCCGATCTCCGCCCCCTGTCACGCCCCCTTAGCAGGGTGTTGTTGTTTATGCTTGCCGGGCAGCAGCGACGGAGCATGCCTTCGGCTATAAATCTGTCCCGAAATTGCCAGGCTAACAAATTACAAATTATTTAATTGTGCAGCGAAATTTGTGCAACTATTTGGGACCGATACCCTGGACTCGCTGAAGAGCATATGGGTTTCTAATGAAATCAATTCGCATTTATCTGCTATTATAGTTTACTGTTCTACACCTGTTTTATAATGCAATGTTACTTATCTTGGAATAAACACTTTCAAAAATCAATTGTATAAAAATTGTAAGGTATTGCTGCATTAAAGCCTTACCAAATGGAATTTCTTGTAAAAAAATTAAAACTCATTTTTTTACAAGAAATTCCATTTGGTAAGGCCTTGCGCATTAAATTTAATGTAAATCACTCATACGCACTGTTGCCTTCGATCAAAGATTTTGTTTTAACTGATATTACATGTCGTATGAGAGACAAGTGATCCTTTTTTATTTAGAATTTTATAGGCTACAAATTAGTGACTTTTAATATCCTATTTTAAAAATAAATTGATTGATTTTTAAACGTTAATTGATTCTTAAAACCTTTTACCCACAATGACCTTTGATTACAGAGTTATTTTGATTTTAAAGTCGTTGGTTGAGGAACGAAAAAGGAATTTATTTTTCAAGTATTAAGTCATTAAGAAGAATTGGTAATTGAAAACAATTTTATACAAAAAAAATATTTAATAAATATGAACTGCAACTATATATGCCCAACGAGATCGTTAGAGGTACGCCGATCCGAATGAGCGCACTAAATATTTATAATTTATGCAGCCGCACAGCCAGAGACATTGACAATTGAATAATGTTCAAGAGATTCCTTGTGCATTATACACAAACACCGCGGCGGCTAATTAACCAAACATTGAGTGCAGGACAGAGATGGCGAGTGCATTGTTTACACACGTCCAAAATGCGTCACCTGCGGCCAAAAGCTAAAAACCGAAATCCAACAGCCAAATAGCCGAATAGCCAACGGGCCAAAATCCAACAGCTGTCGTGCCACAAGAGTCGACACAATGCGTCAAGCTACGAGGATCAAGTAAGAGTGACCTGCGGCGATCTCTATTGGCGATATAGTCGACTTTCGGATACCCTAACCCAAGGTTTTGAAATGTTTAATTTGAGCATCTTACTTAATTCTCATTGTTTTACCATTACCAGTAATAACCAAGACTTTCGGGATTTACATCGGCACTTAATTTGATTATTGATTTTGTTTTTATCTATGTAGTTTCGTAGAAAAAAATGCATATGTTTTTCAAGTTTAAAACCTACTGTTAGCTTACCATAAAAACGGGCCTAAATATAATGGTCCTATTAAGTATTTAGATCTTGTAATCAATTGCAGTGCCATTTTTATACCTAATCCAAATGCATAAATCAGAAACCCTTTATAAATAGGGTTACGATTCAATCAATCAAAAAATGTTTCGGGATTGTTTTTGAATTCAAAATAGATAATTGAATAATACCTTGATCCCTCATATTGCTGAAGTAAAAAAACCATTTGTAAAACCAAAATAAGTTTGTACTGTAATCCCCTTTGCAGATTGAAATAGACAAGCGGACGATTAGCCGACAGAGACATTTTGTTTTCATTAAATACTATTATTATATAAAATCGGGACCACGCCATTGTGTCTCTCAATTTGACGCCAATGTGCGTGTGATTCATGGCAGACGACGGAAAATCGGCGGAAAACAAACGGACAGCAGGTGGGTTTATAGAAGTAAAAATTCTGGCAAGTAAACTCACCGTGCGTGCTGCTGCTGCTGCTCTCACTGCGACTCAGATCGAAGCCATTCTGGAGGGTATAAGAAATGATAAGAAACATATTAGTTAAATCAGAAAAAAAAGAATTACAAGTATATGTACCCCAGTGGTATAACTAGACACTATAAAACCTAATTAAAAGTACTTTTCATTCTAACATCTAAGTACTAACAACCTTTTAAGTATTTATATATGACAATGAAACCAAACAACAAAATGTTGACCTTTAAATTATTACAATTCAAAAATTTATGTTTTAAGTTGTATGTACTTTAAATTTGTTCTTTAAATAAGATATATTCTCTTTGTAAAGGCATTAACATATTTGTTATACCCTTGCAGAGGGTATTATAATTTTGGTCAAAAGTGTGCAACGCAGTGAAGGAGACATCTCCGACCCTATAAAGTATATATATTCTTGATCAGGATCACCTCCTGAGTTGATATAGCCATGTCCGTCTGTCCGTCTGTCCGTCTGTCTGTTTCTACGCAAACTAGTCTCTCAGTTTTAAAGATATCGAATTGAAACTTTGCACACACCCTTCTTTCCTTTGCACGCAGTAACGGAACGGCCGGGATCGGCCGACTATATCCTATAGCTGCCATATAACTGATTGATCGGAAATGCCATTACTTTGGTGTTTGTAAAGTTAGGAAGTTGGGATTTTCTATGGGTCTTATATTTAGCCAATCAATCTGACCTACCAAATTTCATAAGGATCGGCCGACTATATCCTATAGCCGCCATATAACTGATTAATCGGAAATGCCATAACTTTGGTGTTTGTTAAGTTAGGAAGTTGGGATTTTCTATGGGTTTTATTGTTGGCCAATCAATCCGACCTACCAAATTTCATAAGGATCGGCCGACTATATCCTATAGCTGCCATATAACTGAACGATTGGAAATGCCATAACTTTGGTGTTTTTAAAGTTAGGAAGTTGGGATTTTTTATGAGTATTAAGAATGCATCATATGAATAATTTTGGAGAATATAATTTACAGAGTATTCTGCAAGGGTATTTCAACTTCGGCTCCGCCCGAAGTTAGCTTTCCTTTCTTGTTTTTAACTAATGATTGCTTTAACACATAACGTTTAAAATAAAATAATGATAAAATAAATATTCAGATCGATAGTTAACCCTCTTTAAAACTTAAGATTTGCAAATATTAAAACAATTCTATCTATTGAAATAAATTGCAGAAGACGTACCGCCTCCACGTCTAGGGTGAGCTGCTCCATGGGCTGGCTGGCCATCTGGATCATCCCGTTCCGGATCGTCTCGAGGCGCTGAGTGGCCTCCGCCGACGAGGTGAGGTTGAAGCTATCGTTGCGGCTCTCGTTGCTATCCTCCTCGGGAATCGCGTCCCAGCGATTGCTGCTCATATGGAATAGCGGATTATTGTCAAGTTGGCCCGAATTCGTCGGCGTGATGTCCGATGATGTTGATGAGGTATTTTCGGTCATTGAGCTAGTCGTTGTTTCTGTTATTGCTATCGCGTTCACATTGGCGTTCGCCGCCGTTGTCGGTGTTAACTGTGTGGACGAGGGGCTCAGTTCCTCCTCCAGCGAACTGAGGCTATCCGATTGAGCGGCCACCGTGCCGTCGCTCTCTTTGGTGACAATCTGCGGAGGATTCAAGGATAGGGAGTTGGTTTTGTATGTGATCATTTGTGATTTCAAAGTAGACTGAAACTGATTAAAAAATTCATTTTTCTAATAATACGTATAACATTTTCGTATGTTTTTGCTGTTTAAACTAATTAAATGAGGCTATAGAAGTTAAAACTATTTAATTTAATATATTTTATGACGTTTTGAAATTTGACTTTCCGGATTTAAAGCAAATCTTGATATATTTGAGATATTTTAGCCGAATATGAATAAATATATATAGGTTTAATTAGTTTTAAGGCAATTTCGGTATATTGTTTATAAGAACTTTAACATTTAGTTATAAAAGCACAACAACTACTTATTTCCCTTATCTTGTTACTGCCAAACTAATCTATGTCAAACGAATTAAAATATATTTTTTAACGTAATAGTATTATTATTAACTGAAATCTGTGTTTGATGTAATCTTCAATTTCCAGGAAATGTAAATGAACTAATTTTGTAAAATAAAGAGGGGATAATCTTTTTTTTACAAATTCCAATTGAAGCGATCACAAAAATGACCTTAAAAATCTCTACATGCAATCTTTGTACAATATTATAATACTACAGAACTAGGAGCTAAATTCACCTGTTGATTAACAAACTGGTATTCCAGGGCCTTGTCCGCCCCGATATAGTCTTTCACGATCTCGTGCATGACGCCCACAATGTACTGCATCGAGGGGCGATCCTCGGGCGCCGTTTTCCAGCAGGCGGTCATCAGGTCCTCAATGCGCTTGGGGCAGGTCGTCAGCAGCGGTGGACGTTCGCCTAAAAACCAGATATGTATCATGAAATTAACGAAATCAAGCGTTTATTGAGAAACACACACCCTTGTAGATCTTCCACTGGATGGTGTAGGCATTGTCGATGCCCTTGAAGGGCTGCTTCCTAGACAGAACCTCCCACAGCACAATGGCCCAGCTGAAGATGTCACATTTCTCCGTGTACTTGGAGCCCTCGAAGACCTCGGGAGCCATCCAAGCGGCACTGCCCCGATTGTTCGTCATCATGGTGGACTTGTCGGCCACAGTGCCGAAATCGCAGATCTTCAGATTGCGCCCCTTGTTGGTCAGCAGCAGGTTCAGCGGCTTCACATCACGGTGGATCAGAGGCTTCGGCGTCATGGCATGCAAATAGGCCAGGCCCTTTAAAGGAAAGCAAAATGTAACATTAAATAAGTTATAAATGATTAAAAGCCAGTAAGCTACAAATTTAACTACGGAGTCAATGAAATATTTGTTATTACAACATTTTCTACATTGAACTTGTTTCTTAGTTGAAATGATTATTATTAAATGTTCCTATTATATGTATACACTTGAACGAGACATTTCCGACCCTAAAAAAGGTGTATTCTTTTTGTTTCATAGATATTAACATATATGGAAAATTACTGATTTCTTGATTTTAATGCTAATTTAAACATAAGTGAATGGAATTTGATAAAAAAAAAAGTTTCCCTTTGGAAGTGGGAATTCTGGGCGAGGCCCTGCGATAAAATCGCATGTGGATGACAACCTACCTCCGCACATTGGCGCGCCCAACTCATGGCGTGGGCCAGGGAGTAGGCCGGCTTCACCTTGCCGTGGAGGAAGTTGTGGAGCGAGCCACCTTCGGCGTACTCCATGATCAGGTAGGTGGCCTGCTGGTACGACGATATCCCGTGCAGGGCGATGATGTTCACGTGCTTCACGCGCGACAGCTGCTTCACCTCCTTCTCGATGTCCTTCTGCTCGGCGCTGGCGAAGAACTCCTTGACGGCCACCAGCTTATCGCGCCAGACGGCCTTGCAGACAACTCCATAGGACCCATGGCCGACTTTCTAGGGGTAGAAAAAAGGTAAAAGTGTTAGTCTCAATGTGTGATTTGGATGTAGTTCTTTAAAATGTATAATCACTTCCGCACAAATCAATGGGGTATTTCTTATAATAATCTTTAAATATTGGATTTAATTGTTTAACAGTTTTATAAAAAATACCATAATTTGCTATCATAAATAAGATAAATCAAAACTGAGATATTTAATAACTTTTAAATATTTAAATATAATTGAATATATGTATTAATGAGAATGTTAATAAATTCTTGAATTAAATATATATAAAGAAATATATTATTAAACAAAATAAGAAATACTTTAAGAAATGAAAAAAGCTGACATTGAGGGGAATGAAGATAAAAAATGTTTAAAAATAAATCAAAAACAACGATAAAACGACGTTGTGTGTAAGTCATTAAGATTTCCACAGAATTTAAAGATTAGAAATTGAAGCTGGACAAAATTATACACACTTCCATGTTTAGTTTTATACGACTTATCACAAAAGTACAACTTTTTCTAGCCTAATGGGTGTTTTATCTTAAATTCAGCATGACTATTTTGACAAATGGAACTTTGGATTTTAATATGGATACTTCATTAGCGCTTTTAAAAATGTAAATGAGTTTATATGAGCAGTTCGAGTTATAAAACTCAATAGTTTCGATATGATCAATTCAAGATTCGCACCTCTCTGAGTGTTAGCTCGCTGAAGTCCACATAGGCTGCCTGCAGTGCGTCCACCGATGCGGTGGCCATCTCCCTGGGATCCTGAGAATCCTGCCTTTGTTTTCAGATGCAGCTTCCTGATTTTCAGCTTTCAGGATTGAAGATTTATTCTTTAGATACCTCCGTTTTAGGCTGTATTTTCAGGTTCCTTTAGTGTTGTTAATCAAGATTCCTCAGTTTACCAAGATTTCTTGGTCACTGGTTCCTTTCTTCGATGTCTTAATATTAAGTTATTTTTGAAGACTTAACTGGCTTCAGACTTCCTTTATATATTGCTTAGTTGTAGGTTTTAGGCCATTTCCGGTATCATCCTTGTATATCTTAGCTTCTGGTTTGTTTTTAGATTCCTTAGTTTATGGTTTACAACTTCATTCCAAGAATTGTTTGCCCAGATTACTGGTTCTTTTCTAAGGATTGACTAAATACAGGCTTCTTAGCCAAGATGTCTGGGGTTTCTTTTTGGGGTAACAGAGGTATGTCCCAAGATAAGTTCACAGGTTGATTGCCAACATTTCTGGTTTCCCTGATAACTTGCTGAGCTTCTTCAGTTTCAGGTTTCTACCAATGTTCCATGGGTTCCTGATATAAATATATACTTCTGTTTTACTGTGTGGTATACCTGGATCTCCAAATATATTACCAGGATAACTTAGTGACAGATTTTGTGCCAAGACACCTGATATCTTGCTGGTTCTTCGGATTCTGGCCAGGACTTCCGGGTTTCCAGGTGCCACAACTCGTGCTCCACAGTGACGACTGATTCTCCAGGCGAAGTTCTCGACTCTTTGGAGGATTGGGGATCGGCGGATGGGGATGAGGCGGGCGGTGGACAGCGGGAAGGCGGCGAAAAGACGGGGGCACGAGTTTATATCGACCAGCGGAGACGGGCCAGTGCGCACATCACATCCTCGCCGGGACTCCACCGGATTCCGGGTTCAATCCTGCGGATCGCCTCTGCATCGGACGTTCGAGTGGCGGGGTCTTGCGTTCTTCGCCGTGGATGTGATATGATATACGCCGTACTTGTCAAGTACAAACTTGTTTTTTTTAACCCTAATGAAATTAGAGGTGAGACGCAGAGGTGGATGTCATCGATGTTTTCAGACTATCGCTACAATCGGTGTTTGACAGGGGACTATCGATGTTGTCCCACCTCCAAAAAGCATATAAAATGGTGGATGTTCTCGCTACTACCATCAGAGTAAGTCCCCGCTAACCACCGATGGGGTTGTTGTCTCCGCTACTTAATGGGTGAAAACAGTTGCGGGCGTTTAAGATTAGGTTTTTAAATTTTCTTTGATTTTTTTATTTAATTATAATTAAAAAACTGCAACAAATGGCTTTGCAGAAAAATGACCCAAAACCTGCACCTCTAATCCCATAACTTTTCTTACAGACATCCGATTTTAAAGTGGCATATCTTAAAATGTTTGTGTTTCAATTCTCTGAAAATCTGCATTTAAATCTTGATTTGTGATTTTTGGTCGATTATTTGTCATTTTTTATGATCTCTTTCCTAATTTTCAAAAAACCACTTTGCAGAAAAATGACCTAAACCCTGCACTTCTAAGCCCATAACTTTTCTTATAGAAATCCGATTTTAAAGTGGCATACCTTTAAATGTTTGTGTTTCATTTCTCTAAAAATCTGCATTTAAATCTAGATTTGTGTTTTTTGGTCAATTATTTGTCATTTTCTATGATCTAACCCCTTTCCTAATTTTCGAAAAACCACTTTGCAGAAAAATGACCCAAGACCTGCTCCTCTAAGTCCATAACTTTTCTTACAGACATCCGATTTTAAAGTGGCATATCTTAAAATGTTTGTGTTTCATTTCTCTAAAAATGTGCATTTAAATCTTGATTTGTGATTTTTGGTCGATTATTTGTCATTTTTTATGATCTAACCTCTTTCCTAATTTTCCAAAAACCACTTTGCAGAAAAATGACCCAAGACCTGCTCCTCTAAGTCCATAACTTTTCTTACAGACATCCGATTTTAAAGTGGCATATCTTAAAATGTTTGTGTTTCATTTCTCTAAAAATCTGCATTTAAATCTAGATTTGTGTTTTTTGGTCGATTATTTGTCATTTTTATGATCTAACCCCTTTCCTAATTTTCGAAAAACCACTTTGCACAAAAATGACCTAAAACCTGCACTTCTAAGTCCATAACTTTTTTTACAGACATCCGATTTTAAAGTGGCATATCTTAAAATGTTTGTGTTTCAATTCTCTAAAAATCTGCATTTAAATCTAGATTTGTGGTTTTTGGTCGATTATTTGTCATTTTCTATGATCTAACCCCTTTCCTAATTTTCGAAAAACCACTTTGCAGAAAAATGACCCAAGACCTGCTCCTCTAAGTCCATAACTTTTCTTACAGACATCCGATTTTAAAGTGGCATATCTTAAAATGTTTGTGTTTCATTTCTCTAAAAATGTGCATTTAAATCTTGATTTGTGATTTTTGGTCGATTATTTGTCATTTTTTATGATCTAACCTCTTTCCTAATTTTCCAAAAACCACTTTGCAGAAAAATGACCCAAGACCTGCTCCTCTAAGTCCATAACTTTTCTTACAGACATCCGATTTTAAAGTGGCATATCTTAAAATGTTTGTGTTTCATTTCTCTAAAAATCTGCATTTAAATCTAGATTTGTGTTTTTTGGTCGATTATTTGTCATTTTTATGATCTAACCCCTTTCCTAATTTTCGAAAAACCACTTTGCACAAAAATGACCTAAAACCTGCACTTCTAAGTCCATAACTTTTTTTACAGACATCCGATTTTAAAGTGGCATATCTTAAAATGTTTGTGTTTCAATTCTCTAAAAATCTGCATTTAAATCTAGATTTGTGGTTTTTGGTCGATTATTTGACATTTTTTATGATCTAACCCCTTTCCAAATTTTCGAAAAATGGCTTTGCCGAAAGGTCACCTAAACCCTTCACTTCTAAGCTCATAACTTTTTTCGCAGATATCCGATTTCCAAGTGGAATACTTCTAAAAGTTCATAGCTTAATTCCCTAAAAAACTGTATTCAAAACATAGTTTTTAATTTTTGGTCGATATTTTGTCTTTTTTTTATGATAAACACCTTTTGAAGTTTTCGAAAAATGGCTTTGCAAAAAAGTGACTCAAGACCAGCACTTTTAAGACCATAACTTTTTTCACAGAAATCCGATTTTGAAATGGTATACATCAAAAAGCTTGTTGCTTCATTCCAAAAAAATCTGCATTAAAAATTTGGTTTTTAATCTTTTATCGATTTTTTATGAATTTTCGGAAAATGGCTTTGCAGAAAAGTCACCTAAAATCTGCACTTCTAAGCCCATCACTTTTCTAATTTAAATCCGATTTTAAAGTGGTATACCTCTAAAAACTTGTAGTTGAATTCCCTAGAAATCTGTATTAGCAACAGCATTTTTAATTTTTGTTCGATTTTTTGTAATTTTCATGAGAAAGTAGAAATTTTCGAAAAATGACTTTTGGCTTGTATATTTGTGTTTATAGCATAGTTTGTCCTTCGGTCGATATCTTAAGACTACCCCATATATCTCCGATATCTCAAGCTGTTTTAGAGCAATTAAAGTAAAAGCTTGCTGAAGAATTCAAAGCCGTCGGGATGGGTTTGTGTGTGGGCGAGGCTTTAAGGTCGTTTTTATTTAATTACACACAGACAGAGGGCAACACAGGGAAAAGGACATTTAAAGCGTTGTACATAAATGAAAATGAAATAAATTAAAATAAGTGTCGAAGCAAAAGGCAAAGGCAAAAAGGACCAAAGGACGTTGGCTTTTCGAGTGTGTGGGTAGTAATCTTATGCGTCGCATGTGAAAGCATTCCCTGCCTTCCCCCAAACGTAAATCTCTCTAATGTGCATGCATTTGTAAAGTTCGAGTATCCTTTTTATTTTTTGTTTTTGTTTTTGTCTTTTTTTTCCCATATATGGCTGTACATTTATTTATCTTTTTTCTGGCCTCGCCAAGGCAACTCGAAGAACGAGGGAAAAGGTCGAGATGGCCGGTTGAGCAAAGACAAATTCATGTTGCATTCGTAGCTTAAGGATATTATTGTATCCTTTGCATCCTTTGTGCCCGGAGCTCTTTTTTGTTCTTCTTTTTGCATACTTTATTTTTATTTTGCTCCTTTTTGTTGTTGTGCCCAGCGCTTTGTTTTAAAGTCCAAAGTGAATCCTGGAAAAAAAAATCAAACAAGGGACAAAGAACGCAACTGAACATGAAATTCAACAAGAAATGTGAACTTAAGCTCACAAATGTGAGTTGTAGAAATTATCCTTTGAGAAGTGGTAATGCTCTATTGTTGGTCTAAATTCTTTAAAATACAATTCGACAACATAAGAAATATATTTTAAGGTTCTTAATTTCGATTATTATTTTTCTTCAGTTCAGATCATTTAAACATATTTATATTAATATATTTATATATAATATATTTATATATTACATTAATGCAAACTTAATTACACAAACGGAAATATTTCAACTGCAATAATATTTATATGTTGTTTATTTCTTTACAGATATTAAACATTTTCTATGGTTTTCTAAGGTTACTACACAACTTATGTTTACAACTTTTAAAGTGTTTTTGGTAACTCTTTTCTGCAAATATTGATTACAGAATTAATATTATTTTAAAGTTCTTCATTTCGATTATTGTTCTTTTGAATTCAACACCATTCTAATTCAGAAATATATATATTTTAATTTATCTTTATAGGTGTTGGATATATTTTAGGTCTTCTTAAGTTTATTATTCTATTTACAACTTCTTCAAACATGATTCTAGGGAAAGTGTATTCGAAAGGACTTCGTCCACGCCGAAGCATAGATTTTCTCCATATATGTATTTATGTAATCCGGTGTATATAAGTACGTATGCATAATGCATGTGGGCTGATGTAAATGCAAAAATAAAACTGCGAATGCCCAACTGCGGCCGACCCGTATCCTTTGTGCCCCTGTGTGTGAGTTTAAGTGTAAGTATCCATCAGAAATGTGCGAGTTTTAGATTTATTTGTAGTTGCACAAAATCCAAAAAAATAAAAAAAGAAAAGGAAAAAAGGAAAAAAAAAGAAGGGAAAAGGAACAGAGTAACCAAAAAGCAAAGGACTGGACGTTACTGAAAGGGATATATCCCCAGGAAAACTTTATTTTAATTTTAATGTGGGCGCTTGTAATGCAAAGTAGATGCCCAACAAAAGTTTCCGTCGGTTGGGATTTGGGATATGGGATATGGGGGTTAAAACGGGAGTTGAGAGCTGGGAGCAGGTGTCCTGGCCGCCGTTCGATTCCAGGACCCGACTGCCAGGACCTCATCTTAATGGGCTTGCCGCACTTTTACAAATTGGCTCAATTGCAAGTTTATGCGTTGTCCACGATTGGATACCCCCATCCCACGATTCCGGACTCCGGATCCCAAACTAATGCCGCCATATGTGCCCAGGACTCGTTAACCTTTTCAGATTCGATTTCGCAGTCTGTATCTGGCTTTTAAAGATGTTCTGGTTTTCAATATCCCTGCACAAGATGTTTACATTTATATATTTGTCATTTCTAAACCAACTAGTTACAAAATATATAAATTAAAAATTAACACACTTATTGTTAATTTCATATTGACCAATGTAAAATGGATGTATTTTATTCCGTGTTCCAAATAAATAAGTCATTATTTTTTGAGTAATTATATATACTTGATTGACTTAACATACACCATTAATATTGATGAACATTCACTTAAGTAAGATTCATTATTTAATTGAGTAAATAGCCCTAAACATTATATAAACAAACTGGCATACATTAATAAGTGAATTGGTTTTCATTTTGAATACATAAAAATATAGACTTTAAAGAGATGGCTGCAAAAGTGTCAATTGCTTCGATTTCTATATAGAATTATATTGAGAATTGATCAAAGTATTTTTTGGTGAATTGAATACCCCAAAATTCACTGCAAATGAAAACAGGAATGGTTTGTTTTGTCTCCGTTTCTGTTTTTGCCATTGTTATGGGGTATCATGGCAAAAAATTGTATTACACCTCAAT